GGTCAAGAGATCGAGACCATCCTGGTAAACATGGTGAAACCCCGTCTCTACTAAAAATACAAAAAAATTAGCTGGGCATGGTGGTGCGTGCCTGTAATCCCAGCGACTCAGGAGACTGAGGCAGGAGAATTGCCTGAACCCGGGAGGCGGAGGTTGCGGTGAGCCGAGATCGCGCCATTGCACTCCAGCCTGGGTAACAAGGCCAAAACTCCGTCAAAAAAAAAAAACCCCTACAAAGGAACACAACATAACAGTACACCCTGAGTCAGAAATGTTTCTTTTTGTTTTTTTTTTCTGGGCAGAAAATGTTTTTTAAAGGGCCAGAAAGAAAATATTTTAGGTTTGTGATTCATATGGTCACTTCCTCAATTACTCAGCTTTGCTATTGTAGCTATAAAAAACAGCCATAGATAATATGTAAACAAATAGGTACTGAAATTTCCAGTGAAATTTCATTTACAAAAACAGAAAGCCTGTTGCTGATGGCTGCTCTCTATAAAAACTCAGTAGTGATCTCTAAGATATACTGTTAAGTCAAAAAAGCAAGGTAGATGTGCTGGGAAAATACTTTTGATTTGAGTAAAAGAAAAAGATAAGAAAAAAAAAAAGAAAAAAGCAAGGTAGAGAGAAAAGTGTGTATAGGCCGGGCATGGTGGCTCACGACTGTAATCCCAGCACTTGGGGAGGCTGAGGGGTATGGATCACTTGGGGTCAGAAGTTCGATACCAGCCTCATCAACATGGCGAAACCCCATCTCTAATAAAAATACAAAAAATTAGCTGGTTGTGGTGGTGGGTGCCTGTAATCCCAGTTACTCAAGAGGCTGAGACAGGATAATTGCTTGAACCTGGGAGGCAGAGGTTGCAGTGAGTGGAGATCGCACCACTCCACTCCAGCCTGGGCAACAGAGTGAGACTCTGTCTAAAAAAAAAAAGAGGGAAAAGTGTGCCTAGTGTGCTACCCTTATACCATTAATCTAAGATGGGAGGCGAATCTGTGTACTTATGTTTTAAAAAGAAAAAACACAATAATATAAAAAATTTTAGGCTGGGAGTGGTACCTCACGCCTGTAATCTCAGCGCTTTGGGAGTCCAAGGCAGGCAGATCATTTAAGGCCACCAGTTCAAGACCAGCCTGGCCAACATGGTGAAACTCCAGCTCTACTAAAAATACAAAAAAAAAAGGACAGGTGCAGTGCCTCATGCCTGTAATCCCAGCACTTTGGGAGTCCAAGGTGGGAGGATCACAAGGTCAAGAGTTTGAGAATAGTCTGGACATCACAGTGAAATCCTGTCTCTACTAAAAATACAAAAAATTAGCTGGGTGTGGTGGTGTGTACCTGTAATCCCAGCTACGCAGGAAGCTGAGGCAGGAGAATTGAGTGAACCCAGGAGGCAGAGGTTGCAGTGAGCTGACATTGTGCCACTGCACTCTGGCCCGGGCGACAGTGTGAGACTCCATCTCAAAAAAATTAAAAAAATAAATTAGTCAGGTACAGAGGTGCATGCCTGTAGTCTCAGCTACTCAGGAGGCTGAGGTGGGAGAATCCTTTGAACATGGAAGGTGAAGGTTACAAAGACACACATGCCTCTTAAGGCCTAGACTTGACAGGTTGAGCCACAATCATGCCACTGCACTCCAGACTGCGTGACAGAGTGATCCTGTCTCAAAAAAAAAAAAAAAAAAAAAGAGGGAGGGGGGGGAAGGGAGGAAAAAAAGAAAAAAAAAAAAAAAAAAAAAAAAAAAAAAAAAGACAGAGAGAGAAGGAAAAGGAAGAAACGAAGGAACAAAAGAAGGAAGGATGGAAAGAAGGGAGGGATGGAGGGAGGCAGGATGCAACGGATTAAAACATATAAAGTATGTTAAAATCCATGTGTTCACAAGGATATTTAAAGTAAATAAAACTCATCAATCATCTTTGGAAGTTGCTAAGAACTACCTTTCTCTGTCTGTTTTAAAATACTGCAGAGACAGGATCTCACTATGTTGCCCAGGCTGGTCTTGAATTACACATGTGAGTCACTGTACCCTTCCAGGAATTATCTCATTCTTTTGAAAACTGGTAAATAAAAGGAAAATGAACCAAGCATTTATCTTGCCTTTCCTATTCAAAATGTGCCTGGGGGGTAACTAAATAGCTGATTAGAAGTTTCTCTTTATAGAAGCAGGCTAGATAATGAAGGAAGAAAGAATGATAAATTAGAAATATCACCACTTTGCAACTCCTAATGAATTAAATTATCTAGGTAATGACTATCAATGGCTACAACAGAACACATTATTCTTTCTTTCCTTTTTTTTGAGACAGAGTCTCGCTCTGTCTCCCAGGCTGGAGTGCAGTGGTACAATCAAGACTCCCTGCAACCTCTACCTCCTGGGTTCAAGCGATTCTCGTGACTTAGCCCCAGAAGTATCTGGGATTACAGGCATGTGCCACCAGGCCTGGATAATTTTTGTATTTTTAGTAGAGATAGGCTTTCACTATGTTGGCCAGTATGGTCTTGAATCCCTAGCCTCAAGCGATCCACCTGTCTTGGCCTCCCAAAGTGCTGGGATTACAGGTGTGAACCACTGTGCACGGCCTGGCTAATATTTGTATTTTTAGTAGAGATGGGGTTACACCATGTTGGCCAGGCCAGTCTAAAACTCCTGGCCTCAAGTAATCCTCATGCCTCGGCCTCCTGAAGCACTGGAATTACAAGTATGAGCCACTACACTCAGCCACATATTATCCTTTTTTTTTGAGACAGAGTCTCACTCTGTTGCCCAGGCTGGAGTGTGGTGGCACAATCTCGGCTCACTGCAACCTCTGGCTTCCAGGTTCAAGGGATTCTCCTGAGTCAGCCGCCCAAGGAGCTGGGATTACAGGCTAGCGCCACCACACCTGGCTAATTTTTGTATTTTTTGTAGAGATGGGATTTCACCATGTTTGCCAGGCTGGTAGTCTAAAACTCCTTACCTCAGGTGATCCTCCCACCTCAGCCTCCCAAAGTGTTAGGATTACAGGCGTGACCCACTGCGACCGGCCGCCACATTATCCTTTCTAATTCTTCACCCCTCTCTATACCCATGCCCTTTGCTATGTGCCTTAGTCATTCTTCCTGGCCCCATAGTGACACTATGTCAATTCTAAGTCTAGGCCTTAAGAGGCACATGTGACTTTGCTTGCTCCTTTTATACTTCTGTCATCACCATATAAAAGTGCCCGGGGTTTGCTGGCCCAGGGAGCAAGAGAGAGGTAGAACAGACCTGCTACCACCTGTAGCTTGGAGATAATTCCAGCTGAATTCATGCTATCAGGCAGCTGAAATGCAGTTGAACTTCAGACGCATGAATAGGAACAGAGGTTGGTTTGCCACTTCACATTATTGTGGTAAGAGCTAACTGATAGGATTGTTAACATCACAAACTGAGAGACAATCAGATATGTGTCTCCTGATGGAAATACATACCACTACCTAAAAACCAGCCTTCCCCAAGAAGAAGCAACAATGACAACAACAGAACAAACCCAAATCTGACCAATTCTATAGCTCTAACTACCCATTTATAGAAAACTCAAGGGACTAGAAACACATTCAGCAACAACGAGATGCAGTTAGCATCATGAGAAACCAGAAGACGAATGATCCAGTTTCTTCAGCAAATAAGCTGTAAGGCAGGGTAAAAAGATTGGGGAAAAAACAGATTAATATGACTTAAGGGACATATTAACAAATCACAATGTATGGACTTTAAGATCCTGATTCAAGTGATCCAATTATTGTTTTTTAAATTATAACACAAATAGAAAAATTTGAACATCGACTAGATATTTGATAAAGAATTATTATTATTATTTTTTTTTTTTTTGAGACGGAGTTTCGCTCTTGTTACCCAGGCTGGAGTGCAATGGCGCGATCTCGGCTCACCGCAACCTCCACCTCC